ACTGTCACAAAAAGACAGATGAACTAGACAAAAAAATCAATAATGAAGTATTAGAACTGAACCAAACTTTTGAACAAAAGAACTTAGTAGATGTCTACAGAATGTTCCACCCCACAACATCAGAATGCACATTCTTCTCAGCTACACGGAACATTCTCCAAAATAGCCCACGTACTAGCTCTTAGAACATACTCAAGTAAATGCAAAGGAACTGAAATTATCCCATGCATATTATCGGACCATAGTGCAGTGAAATTGGAAACCAGTGGCAAAAGAAACCACAAGAACTTCACAAACACATGGAAATTAAATAGCACCCTCCTGAACAACCAATGGGTCACAGATGAAATTAAAGAAGAAATTAGACAGTTTCTACAATTAAATGATAATGACAATACAACATAGTGGAACTTATGGGAAATGATGAAAGCAGTCCTAAGAGATTTATAGCAGTGAATACCCATTTCAGGAAAATGGAGCAAGCACGAGTAACTCAATGGTGAACCTGAGACTTCTAGAAAAGAAGAGTGACCTAAGTCAAAAACTCATACAAGGGAGAAAATTATAAAGATCAGAGCAGAAATTAACACCTTGCAGACTAAGAAAACAATATAAAGAATCAATGAATGGAAGAAAAGCACCTTTTTCTACTTTTAGATCTCTTGAGAATTCAATAAATATTTCTGAACTTTCATCTCAAATGTCAGTAATATTCCTAAATTCTTGCCCCACTCTCATAGACAGAATTAAGCATACTTTCTGGATTTCCACACTCCTTCACATTATGATTATTTCTGCTCTGACTTTTTTCCCATTAAACTACAGCTGTCCAAAGGTCATCTTCTGTTCTGAATCCACAGAATGATACTACATTTTGACAGCTAAAACATTCTCCTGAAAATGACAGTGCAGGATGCATGATTAAGCACCATGCGTCCATTATTCTGTCATGCTTTAGATTTCATTGTCATCTTTGCTTTCTTGCCTATTATGGGTTATGGATAAGAAAAGAAGTCATCTTTATTGGAAATGACAGCCAAGGTGCCTTGTATGTCTTATTAAAGTGATGTATAGGTTTTGCTACTAAGATAGGTTAGTTTTGTACACTGCTTTATACATCATATAAGTGAGAAGTTACATTTTTTACTTTTAAAAGGTTAAGAAATAAGAAAGGTTAAGAATTTATAAGAAAGAACATAAGTCTGTAACATTATCCCACTATCAAGAGTCACTGTCAACTTATCTTTCCAGTTTCAATTCTGTATGTGTGTAATTTACTGATGACAATATACTTGTGTATACTAATTTTTTATTGAACATTGTATCAGTGAGCTTTTTCCTTTATTCTATCATTCTCCAAATTATGATTCTTTTGGAAGGCTGTATAGTATTTCATGTTATAAATGTATCGTAATTTATTCAGGTATTTTTCTCTCAGTGGATATTTGAATTATTTTAAATTTTTGATTACAGTATTTTAAATAACTTTAAAAATGTGTTTTCAAAAACCTGTTGTAACTCCAATGTTATTAGTAGCACAGCAGAGTGACTGACACAGTCAGAGTCCAGATAACAAGCAATACAATGAGACATGAAGCTAGAGAAAAGGCAACACTGGTGTGAGTGGTAGCCTCAGCCACATCCTTCCTGGAGTGCAAGCCCTTTGGATATAGTCTGACCTGATTTGTAGCAGTACTGTTTCCCTGGCTAAGCAGACTAAACTGAGAATTGACACTGCAACCAGGCATGAGTATCCAAGGGTCAGTGAAACAAGCCCATGCAAGATCTCAGTGTGGTCACTGCATCTGCAATGACCACAGCTAATGGAACAAAGCCTCTTTCATACAATTTGAATTTGAGACTCATGGGGGCTTAACCAAAAGGTAGGGCAGATACCTTGAGAGAAATACAAAAGCCATATCCACATGGCAGTGGGAGCCACGACAAAGTGGGATTCACAGAGTAGAGAAACAAATGCAGAGAGAACTTAGCAGCACAGAGAAAGCAAAGCAGAGTGTGGCTGAGTCATCACACAGGCAGAGCACTGGAGAAGAAGCAGCAGATGCTTGATGCTGAAGCTATGTCAAGAGGAACAGGTGGCTTGAGGTATGCTATGTCCCCAGGGGCCACGCCAGGCAGCTGCTAAGACTGCTTCCTGCTTTTCCCACTTCCTTGTGGAGCTTCATAATGAACCACATTGACCTAAGTCACCAGAGCGCGTCTCTTTTCATGGCAACCTGAAAGAACCTAATTGACACCATGTAATATTCATATGTCCATCATGGCATGTCTCAGGTGGCATCATGGTGATTTGCTTTTTATAATTCTCCCTGACTAGACTTCTGGAGGTCAAGGACTGTGTTTAATGTCTTTAAAAATATATCCTTAGCAGCTGGGGCGATGTAATAACAGGTAGGAGGTACTTCCTAATTGTTCAGTGACTGAATGAGGAGCAGGAATGGTCCAGGCTAGAACAGCAACTGGAAAACATTTTTCTAAATGAACTTTGGATTTCTTGTTTTGTTTGCTATCAGTAACAAATGTAAAAATTTTTGTTCTCAAGAATTTATTTAAAATAATGCCTTAAAAATTTCCCTTTAAATTTGCTGTAAATAAGACACATTTCTTTTTAAAAATATACTTGTTCATCAGACCTTTAGAGTCCTGCCTCCTACCAAACATGAGCTCCAATACACTATTTGAAGTAAGGTCTTAGTGTTCCTTACTAAGCTCTGTGGGAGAAAAGTACATAATAAGAGAGTTCCAGGACTTGCAACTTTCTTCTTTTAATCTAGCAAAGTTGTGCCATCCACACTAAGAAGAATAAAGACATGCAGAATAGGTCACGTACACCACAGCACAAAGTGCTGTGTACCTGTGTTGCAAAGTTGATTCTAAACAAGAAGTGGAGAGTTGCATTAGAAAAGCCCTAGCTGTTGAGGGGCTATGAACATCTTTTAAGTAGTCATTAGTTATGCCCTCTATATGGTCAGCTTAATACAGCATGATCTCTTCCAAGTTTTCAGACTCTTCCAAGTTTTCTAAAATGTCATAGGTAGTGAGTTCTAGGATTTACTTTCTCCTGGTAATACTTACCACACTTGTCTTAAGGCAAGGTTTTGTTACTACTATTTCACACAAGCCTAGAAATCACTATTTCTCCCCTAAAAGAGGCTTGTTGACTAGTACTCTGATATAACATAGTTGCCTCAGCTTCCTGTGTTTTTAATAAGCTGAATGAGTTCAGTCTGACAATGAAGATTTGCAATATCACTATGCTTATACTTGTAGGTAGTATATCAGCAACTACTATAATTTGAAATTTTTGACTCAAAAAGTGAAACCTTATTTTACTGCATTCAAACTTTGCAGTGGTGGCTACTGGGATGTCTCAGTTTTATAAAAAATGATACTATCAAATTTCTCTTTCTCTATTGCAAGTATATTTAAAAATCATCTTCCCAGTGAATATTTAAATGAACAGAGGAGCCTGTTCATTATTTACACAATTTAACTCTAAAACAAAATTTCCTATTATTCATACTAGCAGCCTACTTTCAAATTTTGGCCACAAGTATTATTGAAGAAGATTCTGCATGTCTTAGTTATATTTTTATCTAAGTGTGCTATTTAGAGTTACTATTTGTATGAATTGGAATTTTTTCAATATTGTGCAAATAAAATAAATTAAACACGGAAGCAAATGGAACATTAAAATTGATATGCATCTGCAATTACACCTCCCTTACCCCAAATTGTAAAGTTTTGTATTAGTTAAAATTTTGTGTTGGCATTACCTGTCATTTTCCTTCTTCTTCTTCTTCTTCTTCTTCTTCTTCTTC